GGGGTGCGGCCCCTCAGGCTCGGCGCGGCCGCGGCAGGAGGAAGCGCGGCGGGGCGGCCGCGGCGGAGCCGAGCGAGCTGCCGCCGCCGCTGGCAGGCATAGTGCTATTATAGCGAGCAGCCTTGCCGGTCGGCTGCACTGAGCCAATGGCAGGGAGCCACTGGGCTGGTACCGAGCGCTGTCAGAGGAGGACATCTGTCACACGCCGCCTCCACCGCCACCCACCGCCCCACGCCCCGCTGCCCCCGCCGCGGACGGGCCGGCGGCAGGTAAAGGGGGACGGGTGGGGGGAGAGGGCAGAGCCGGCACCCCGACCGCAGCGAGCCCCGCAGGTGGGGTGTGCCCTCCTTTTTCCGGGGGTGGGGACGACGACGAGCGTGGCTCCTCCGGGATTTGAGGGGGGTGGGGGTGGCTATGGAGAGATGCCCGGCGTGCGACGCCCCCAGCCCAGCGCTCCCGCCCTCTGCCTCCTCCGAGCAGCCCCCGCGCCCTCCGCCGCGCCCTTTGCTTTTTTGTTAACACATTTCTCTAACACCCAACTCAAGGCACCTCCACCTGSCCGGGGCGGAGCAGCCCCCCCGCTCTCCGGGCTCCATCGATCGCCGCCCCCGCTCGCGGCTCCTCTGGCCCGTGACGGCGTAATTGGGTGAATTCGGTCATTTCTCATCCCCGCTCGGGGTGAGCTCCATCCCGCCCTTTGCCGGGCTGCGGCCGCCGCAGCCCATCCCCGCCGCATCCCGCCCGGCAAGCTGCAGGATCGGCAGCGGGCTGGCAAAACTTCTGGGTCACGGTGTCGGGAGGCGCTGGGCCGTATCCCCCCTTCCCGGTGCGCCCGCATCCCTCCACCTTGGGGTGCCGCATCCCCCTTCCTGGGTAACCCGCATCCCTCCACCTTGGGGTGCCGCATCCCCCTTCCTGGGTAACCCGCATCCCTCCTCCTTGGGGTGCCGCATCCCCCTTCCTGGGTAACCCGCATCCCTCCWCCTTGGGGTRCCGCATCCCCCTTCCTGGRTAACCCGCATCCCTCCTCCTTGGGGTGCCGCATCCCCCCTTCCCAGTGCGCCCGCATCTCTCCTCCTTGGGATGCCTCTCCCCCGCGGTTACTCACGGTTCTGCCGGCCCGGGGCCGCCGGCGGAGGTGGCTCTGCCCACCCGGCCTCGCAGGGCTTCGGCGTCTGCAAGGAAAAGGACAGCAACCATGGTTTCTTGCAGGCTCTGGCGCAGCCTCTGCGATCCTCACCCTCAGCCTCAATGCCCGTACAATGTGCTCGGTAAGTTGCACAAAGCCCCCAGCAAACTGGATTAAAAACCATTAGGTACATCAGCAGGGGGTAGCTATAGTGTACCCCTGCTCCTTCAWCAGCATGTGTTCCTTTATTTTTGCAGCACGCAGATCGGAGCTGGCTTCCAGGACCAGAATTTGTCACAGTGTAAGATGTGCTCAAGAAAGATGCTGAAGTGTGGTTTGTTGCTTTGTTGGGTTTTTTCCCCCCATAAGSTATCTGTGATTTGCAGCTTTCTCATGTAAAGGTGTGAAACATTCTTAGCTGGCTCATCTTCCAACCTGCTTTACCTTTATTCTGGATTGTAAAAATCAAGATTGATGGGATGAAATTCCAGTGCCATGAGAGGGAACACCTTGGAAAAGAAGCCCAGGAACATGATGTAACATCTGAACATGTCTCTTAGTCAGCATTTACTGCTGGCAGCATAATCCCACTGTCCTGTCATCTTGTCCTCCAAAACAGATGAGCTGCTGCCAGMAAATTCACGATGGGGACACATACAAACACTTCCCTGGCAGAAATCATTGTCTCAGGTGTTTGCATCCTTGATGAAGGAAGCCCCAGTTGTTGAGAGGTGCCTCCTTCTGATAAACATTTTCTATCATTACCTCAGTGAATAGTAAATTTTGACAGCTGTCACTCATGCTTTAGCATTTTCCRTACTTAGGGAAGAATTTCGGAAATGGCAAAAGTGGAAAGTTGTGACAGCTGAGACACAGGTGAGAGATCAGAATTTGCTGCATCTTCTTACAGCCAAAAAAAGGGTGTGATAATGTACACGCCCAGTAACACGATTTTTCTGGTTATGAGGATGTGCGTGTACATCTAGAAATAACCAGCAAGTTCGTTGCCATGTGAAAATCAAGTCAATATTATAAATACCTGATAAATTTAACAACACAGCGCACTTAAGTCCTGGTTCCCGTTCAGATGGGATCACGGGTGAGGTTCTCTCTCCAAAATGTCAGAAGTTTATGTAGGATAGAGTAATGGAAAGACATAAAATGATCCAATAAAATTGGGCAGCTCCTTCCTGGGAATAGATACAGTCCAACTTGGATTAGAGCAATTCTTTCCACCTTCTAAATAGAAGGTTATTGTTATGTGAGGGCCTTTCTGCCTGGGAGTGAAACTCCACACATCCACCTTTTCAGAGAATTGGAACGTTTTTCTCTGAAATCCTTGCACAGACAGATCGCTGACACATTTCCTCACAGCTGGTACAGCCGTACCTGGGTCCTCTCAGGGTTATACAGCTGCTCTCTGGCCTTTCAGGGATGTGCAGGCAGTGCTTCCATGCTCTTGCTAAGAGACTTGGGAACATCTTCTGGTAACAGAGAAAAAATCTACTCCAGTAGCTCAGGTTTCAAGGGCTCGACCTGCTCTGTACCAAACAGGAGTGACCCAGAGCATTAAAAGCTGCTATAGCTCCACTCATAAAGATCTGTGTCCTCCTCTATTAACAGAGGGAAAAACAACGAACAATTAAAGACCACTTGATTTCTCCAAAGCACTCAATAAACAAAGGACTTTGKAGACTAAATAACATCTAATGAGCAAAATACTCATTTTCTAGTCCTACTTATTCTTGTTGGCTTTTTTTTTCTTTTGCTAATCTTGGATATTTTGCTGTCTTAACCCTTCACCTGAGTTTTCCTGCCTCATTCTGTTTGTGATGATCACACAGGCTCAAGACACTGCTTCCTTCCCAAATCTTTTATTGCTAATRAATTGCTAATTTCATCAATCCCTAACCCTATGGCTCCTGCCTACCATCATTCTTACCTATTTCCATCTCTGTTCTGTTCCCCTGGGTATGTATCTGGGGTTTCAGATATTGCTATTTATTTCAATCTATGCCATATAATAATAACCAGTGCTGCTTATTTACTCATTCTATTGTTCTCCTGTTTGGGAAAAATAACTCCAAGGAGTTGTTTCTGTATRAAATGGCAAATATYAACTCAAGAAATAGACTATGTATTKGAGAGACTTTCTGGAAAATTGTGAACTAGAAGCCAGTGAACAAATTAAACTAATTCATGTGCATTGTACTGCTTTTCTGCCTATGAGAATACTCAATATTCTGCATTCTAATACTTAATAAAATTCATTATTCAATAAATAGTTCTGGCCTAACCCAGAAAAAAGTATTCAAGAGTATAAACRATTCTCTTTTGGTTAACAGTGTTTAAAGCATGGCACGGTGTATGTGTTGCTAACACATCCTGAGAAATCATTGGCTCTCTCCTGAAACATATCCATCAAAGATAGAAAGGAATATCTSTGCTCAAGTCACAAGAAACTTGATTAAGCTGCCATAGCAATTCTTACTGAATTCAATAAAATTTAGTTTATCCTAAGAAAATCTCCCTGTAAGTAATCTTCTGTCTGAGACACACCTTTTTACCATCTCCTGCACCTTTAGTCTCCTTGTATTGCTCATTTTTCCCCTTTTTCACTTAGCTTGGGCTGTTTCTCCCTATTTCAGGTGTGCATCATCCTTGCATTAAGYGTACGGAAAACCGAGAGTATCCTGAGCACCTTTTAAAGGCCATCACAGGGTAATGCACATTATACACTGTATTACAACTGCATTCATTCATTCATCAGCTATGGGGGTGGCACAGCAGGAAAAAGAGGAAACTGGGACACTCTGGTAGCGGAGTTCCCAGCACATCCCTCACCGTGTGTGGAGAGTACCAGAGTGGGCTCCCTGCTCCAGCACTTGAGTGAGCGGAGTGCTGGTGGCACAAAATAAGGACAGGCAGCAGTGCCTTGGAGCCCTGCAGTGTACAGCCAAACCCTGGGCTGTAGCCTGCAGCCCCCAAAATTCTGTCACAGCAAGAGGACTGTGAAGGTTTAAACTCATCTTCCTGCTCAATCTTGAAAGTAGCCGCAAAGATTTATTGAAACATACTCTGGGTTTTTTTCTTTGCTCCTTCAGCCCTCCAAAGCACATGATTTTGTACCAAAGTTTATTCAGAACAGCCCCAGGAAAAATCTTGTCCAGCAAGAATTATCCCTTTCCTCTTTTCACGTATCCATGTAGCATCAGTGTTTAGCACACCTTTCCTGTGTTAGGAAATGCAAACACTTTTCTGCCCCTGCTCTTCCCAATTACCAATATTGTCACTGTCTGCTTTAGGATACTACTGGGAAAACTTTGT